TGAGGATATTTATGGTAGATATAAACGAGAAGAAAATAAAAAAAAAATAAATAAAAAAGAAAAAGAATAAGTAAGGATGTAGTTGTTGGTGGTTTTATGTTTGGGTGAAGGTAGGTGGGTGGGGGGGGGGGGGGGGGGGGGGGGGGGGGGGGGGGTTACTCGGGTTAATGTTTGCTGGGTATGTGCCGCTAGCCTCCCAGAGCCCCTACCCCATTATAGTCTATTTTTTGGCTAATTATAGACCCCATCTTAGTCACTTTTTGGAAAATGTAATTTTCGCGATCCCAACTTAGTCACTTTCTCTTCATGCATCCTGACCTTATCAATGTGGTTTCAAGCGGCGGGATGTAATGCGGTCAATGCGAGCTTATTGTTGAATTTAATAAACAACAACTTTCTGATTTTTTAACCGAGAATCTTCCCATTTTGAATCCCTACTTACCCCCAAAATCCGAAAATTTGCGACCCCATTCTAGTAAATATATTGAAAATGCGACCCCATTATAGTCACTCCAGTTGTGAAAATGCGACCCCATCCAGCGGCACATCCCTATTAGCCTCTTGTAAGGGAGTACTCCCCCCCGGGCGTTTCTCAGCAAGGAGAATGGTAGCTTGAGAAAACAGCCGACATTTTGCGACGCCACCACTGGTTTCCCCTTGAAACCAGTCGGCGGCGTCGCGAAATGTCAGTTGTTTTCTTCGGCTAGGAAGATTATATTAATTGTGACTTGAACTATTGAATAAAATGTTGTATTTAAAAATTTGAAAATATTTCCAAAGAGCCCTTAAACCAATCGGAAAACAAAACCGTTGCACTGTAAATAATTTCAAACTATCCACTAACGATAGTTTATGCACCCAAAGCTGTACTATTTTATACTCTCTGGGTCCTCGTGGCTAGTTTTCGACCCTTCTCTCTAAACATTACACACTTTACTTCAAGCACTGTTTTACTCTGTTATTGTTGTTGTTGTCGTTTTTTTGTGGTTTTATAGTCTCAACTCTTCACGCTGACGATTACTTTTCTACGTTTGTATCGATTTGTTTGTTCTCTTATACAATTGTTGTTTCTGCGTTTGAATTAACCGATTGACCATTCTGCTCGCCCTCTCTTAAAGTCCCATTTCCCGCTGCTGACTTGTTGCAACTCGACGAAAGTCTAAAAACCCGATCACGAAAATTTCGAATATGCTCGATGGAGTCCACGAGAATTGACAAAATACACGACATCAGACTTAGGCCTATCATATAAGGCAGTGATAGTAGCATGCCATAAAGTAGAAGAGTAGACTCTTTAGCTTTTCCTTCATCGACATCTCTCTGAATTTTTTTCAGGTGCACATAATCGCCAAAACCAATCGTTGTCAAAGTGATGAACCATGCATACAAACTTTCTATAAAGGTCCAGTCCTCGAGGTGAGCCGTGGAAATAGCTGCGAGGATCAGCACGAGCACGGTCAAAGTACATGCGACGAATAGTGTCTTCTTCTTAACGTGCGATAGTTGACCTCTTTTCAGGAAGTCTTTCTCTATTTTTCTCAGAATGAACTCGATGGAACTTGCCCAGAGCTCACCCGCCGATTTCATTGCCAGCATGGTTATAGGAATACCAATTAGACAAAACAGAATGGTGATGCCTTGTCCAGAGGGATTCTTTGGTGTGATATGCCCGAATCCTGAAACCCAAAATAAAACATTATTCTTCAATATTTAAACTCCAACCTAGCATGAACTTCATCCGATTACTTCGAGTCGTTATTACTCCCTCAGTAATAAAACGACTAGAAGAAATCGGATGAATTTCAGGCTAAACCCCAACCTTGATATAAAATTGAGGTCTTGGCTTGGTGGCGGTGAAAGGGTAGGTGTGGCTAGTTGGAACAACACCTTTGTTGAATATTTATTTGTTCTATTATTTTTAAAACGTTTTAAAGCGCATTGGGATTTTTTTACAACGCTTCAAGTATGTTATTATTGTTATTATTATTCATAGTTTTAATAAAATTTCTGCTCTATTTCTTTCAGTCGTAATGCGAATTTGAATAAATGAATATCTTGCAGCTTCTTGCTATGTTTGTTTTTGCTCAAAAACGGAGAAAATGTGCTTCACTTAACTTTATGTTGCTTATGACTTTGTTGTAACCAATGACTGTCACCAATAGCGCTGCGTACAGTTAAAATTCATAGAAATGAAACTTAGACGAATTGAAATTAACATTGGCGAATTCCATGACATTATTTAAAATGTCATGTTTGTCTGAATTTGTAATTAAAGCGACAAAAATGACAAAAGTCAGACAATCATTGCGAACTAGTCACTCTGACTCTATTTGTGCGCTGTGCTATTTTATTTTTCCCAACATGGGTTGAATACATCAGTAAACAGCTGCTGAGAAGAAAAAACATAAAATCGATCCGTTTTAGAAGGGAAAGCGCCTGAGTCATGTTAAATCAAACCGTGAGGTCTCATACAGGGTTTTAGAAAGAGAGCTAACGAAGCGGATTTTTTTCTTGGCCTTAAAAAAATCGTACCTAGAAGTTAATCGATAAGGATGATAGGTAGGACAACTCCTTTTAGTCGAAACGAGGAAGGTATTTACAAGTTTATCGCTTAATAGAGCATATCAGCTGATTTTTATTCATAAGAAAGAAAAGTTGATATTTTGTCCAAAATTCTTATTTCAAACTCAGAAAAGAAATAGCTTAATGAAAAAGGATTAAAAAAGAGACCTTCCTTCACTGAAGCTCAGATTTTAGGGCTTGCTGAGATCGTCTGCCACTGTATACTCACTGCTGTGGAAATTTTAATTACAATGACGAGCAAATAGAAAATAATGATTATGCGGTGATGTTGTAAAAAGGCAGAATTATCATTTTGGAGTAAGAGAGCTTTTCTCGAAAAAAAAAAAAAATTAAATAGCGGAATTTAAAAATATTTTGTGTTCTACGTCAAATTATAGGCTGTTCTGATCAGCTTGTTTGTTTTCAGGAAACACAGGTTTTATTTGCATTTTAATTTATAGTTGTACTTGCGTTTATGTAGCATTTATTCTGACTGCAGTATCGGCTTTTTCACGCGGTGAATTGGAATAGGCTGACAACCGGGTGACAAGTTGCGGTATGAACACCATGGTAACGGTCGCGACTGCTACGTTTCGTTCGCCAACATTTAAAGATTAATTTTACTGAAGCGGAAAATACAGAAAACAAACTGCCCTTCCTTCATTTTTCCTAACAGCTTGTGGAGACCAAAACAAGATGACTGGCTAAATGAATAATCATTTGACGCGTTTCTCCTCTCAGAAATGGTCAATGCAAATTTGCTTCAACTGGTTTTATTTACCTTTAATTAAACCGAGTGTACTCGTACTTAAATACTGAGCATTTTGCATAACATTTCTAAAAGCATTTAACACCTAATCACGTGAAAAATAACCTTTAACAAAAACAGAGTAACATTCTAAATACAAAGCTTATTTTCTGTCCCCTGTTTTTCGATTTTCCCTCCTTTTATTGTTGCGTGATGACAAATTGGTCAAATCCACCTGCTTCCATTGTTTGTAAGGATATATACCCTAAAACGCGTTCATTATGAGAATTTTAGTGTCATATACATGTAATAGCTATTTTTATACCTATTGAAATTGCGCAGTGTGCGTGTAAAGGCAGACGGCAATAAGCCTTGATAACTAATAGTTATTCACCCCAGTCAGCTTTCATGAATGTGTCAATATTATGTAAATCGACGCAAGAGATGATCTTTTATAATTCAAGGCTTGGACATACAAGTTAATCACCTATTTTGACCTCCCTTTTGCTTCCACCCGTTGTTTCAGCTTTAAATAAATGTGACGTTAAATACTTTGTTACTTTCATTCGAGTTAAATCCTCCTTCATACGCTTTTCGCTACTTGTAGAGAGCAGAGTTGAATATAATTTACGTAAATTTGAAAAGTAATCAATAAATAGTAATAAAAGTTGAGGTTGGAGCAGAAGTTGATAAGTTAGGTACATATTTTTAAAATATTAAGTCTTGGCGGGAGAGATCTTGGGTAATTCTACTTGAACGGATAACACGAAAATCCATTTTCAGATGTTGGCTGATCCATATAGCCAGCTGTTAAGTATATTATTACGCGAGCTTATTTGTTATTGGGACTTTCAAGTAGACGAGGCTACAAACAAACTGGATCCACTATTTAATTTTTTCAGTCTTACCTATTGTGGTGAGAGCAGCAAAGACAAATCCAGCACTGTTAAGAAAAGTCCAGTCCAGTTCATCGCCCTCCTTCACGGCGTTTTCAGTTTTTTTGACAAAATCGTTAAAGTCCTTATCTGTCATGTTATACCTTAGTTGCAATTCCTTCTCAAGTGTCTCTAAAATCTTTTCCCTCCTCTCGTAACTTGACTCATCTCTTTTTTCTATAAAGGTAAAAATCCAAGCCACGAACAAACCGTACGCGAAAAACGTGATCACGCGTAGCAGCGTCTTTTTAGCAAGAAGACTAATCATTTTTATACGTTGAATAACAGGGACGCAGCAGTTCAGGACGGCTTACAGGCTTAGCTAGCTGTAAATGACAATAAAATATTCACATATTAAAATTTAAAGTGACAGACAAAAAA